AAGAGATGAACAGTAAGAACCAAGACACAACCAAGACACTCTGAAAGATCAAAAAGGTATTGTGACCATGCAAAACGGCATGAAAAACTCAAATGCCACAGAACAACTGTCTCAAGTACAGAAGTCCGGCTGTGGCTTTTGCCGTTCATCCCCAGTTCACAGAGAATGTGGTTTCTTCAGTGAGTCAATCTGCTTCACATTCAGCCTTCTTCATGTCCTGATGTGGCAGAAAAGCTGCCATCACTTATAAAACCCACAGGGGCACATCCCTTTCTTTTCAGCCACATGGGAACAAAATGACATGAGAAACTAGGAAGACATCACGTCAGACTTTCAAGCTCTGGGAAGGAAAATCAAGGACTCTGGGGTCTAGAGAGTCTTCTCGGCCATCCTACCAGTACTCGAAAGGGGAACAGAAAGCAAAAGGACAACACCCCAAGTTAATGACGGGCTATACTAAGTTGGTGCCGATGTGAGGGATCTGGATTTTGGGACCACGGGTGAAGCTACCTGGAAGGAGGACGGCTGGCAAGAGACGGCTCGCACTTGGGAAGAACGTGTTTGGCCACAGCATGAAGAACCTCATCAGGCGGGTTTTGAACTGAACTGGTAGGGGGAGGAAGATGCAAACCCAGTGGTAAAAACTGATGAAGGCTCGTGTACAAAAATTGATGAATTGTGGTGCTGGAGGAGACTTTTGAGAGTCCCCTGGACTGCAAGGAGAACAAACCTATCCATTCTGAAGGAAATCAACCCTTAGTGCTCACTGGAAGGACAGATCCTGAAGCTGAGGCTCTAAGACTTTGGCCATCTCATGAGAAGAGAAGACTCCCTGGAAAAGACCCTGATGTTGGGAAAGTGTGAAGGCAAGAGGAGAAGGGGACAACAGAGGACGAGATGGATGGACAGGGTCATCAAAGCAACCAACATGAATTTGACCCAACTCCAAGAGACAGTGGAAGACAGGAGGGCCTGGCGTGCTCTGGTCCATGGGGTCACGAAAAGTCGGACACGACTAAACAACAAAAATTTTCATAAACTCAGAAAAATGACAGGAAAGGCCCCACGGCAGGAAATCCTAACAGGAAAAGGAATTAATAAAGGATTAATAAACAAACAGTCAAGGTGTACCTTACTACCTTAAATGAGTTGGAATCCCCAGGGCTGGACAAACTGCATCCGAGAGTATTGAAGGAGCTGGTGGAAGAGATGGGCAGAACCCACAGTCCATTATTTTTGTAAAATCATGGAGGATGGGTGACGTGATGGATGACTGGAAGAGAGCTAACGTGGTTCCAGTCTTCAAACAGGGCAAAAAGGAGGAACTGGGGAACTACAGATCCAGTCAACCTGACATTAACCCCAGGGAAGATTCTGGAGTAAATTATAAACTGGTCACTCTTTAAAACAATGCACTATTAATCAGAAGCCAACATGGATTTCTCAATAACAAATCCTGCCAGACTAATCTCACCTCACTCTTTAATTGGGTAAAACCCTTGGTAGATGGTGGGAATACTATAGATGTAATATATCTTGATTTTCAGCAAAGCCTTTGACAAAGTGCCCCATGATATTCTGATTAGCAAGATAACTAAGACAGCAAGAGCACTAGGCTGGAAACAGCAGAATGAAATTTCACGAGGATCCGTGCAAAGTTCTCCACTTCAGGAGAAAAAAAGAACAAACGTACAGTTACAAGACAATATATTCGCGAAGGCTTTCATGGCTGGGATCTAATGGTTGTTGTGGGTTTTTCGGGCTCTTTGGCCGTCTCTGAAGGTTGTTCTTCCTAACGTTTCGCCAGTCTCTGTGGCTGGCATCTTCAGAGGACAGCACTCTGTGCTCTCACAAGACACAAGTTACAAGACACTCAATAACACTACAGGCAAGAAAAGTCTTGAAGGTCAACACGCTGAATGTGAGCTAATTTAGGATGCATTAACAGAAGAATAGTCTCCAAATCCTGTGAGGTACTCATTCCCCTCTATTCAGTACTTGTTAGGCTTCATCTCAAGTCCTGTCTCCATTTTGGATACCACACTTTAAGAAGGATGCTGATAAACTGGAACAAGTTCAAAGGAGGGCAAGAAGGATGATAGGGGAACTGGAAACAAAGCCCAAGGAGGAAAGACTGAAAGAACTGGGCATGTTTAGCCTTGAGAAAAGAGAACCGAGGGGAGATAAGATAGCACTTTTCAAAAACTTGAAAGGCGGTCATACATTGGAGGGACAGGAACTGTTCTCGATTACCCCAGAGTACAGGACACGTAATAACAGGCTCAACTTACAGAAAGCCAGATTTCAGTTGAATATCAGGAAAATATCTTAAATGTTAGAGGAGTATGACAATGGAACCAATGACCTTGGGAGGCGATCAGCACTGGAGGCATTCAAGAGAAAATTAGATCGCCAACTATATTTTGATTTGGATTCCTGCCCTGAGCAGGGGGTTGGACCCGATGGCCTTAGAGGCTCCTTCCAACTTGGTTATTCTATGCTTCTATGGTCCTTGGTGTCATCTTGCACAATCCCATCTTGGGTGAGTCTAGCCTCCTGACAGTCTGGCTTCTCAGCTTCCCTGATACTATCAACCCCTCTCACCACATTACGGCGTGTTGCTTCTCCTGGGGGCTGTTTTGTGCCTTCATTCACACCTTCAGCAAAAAGAGCTGCATGCTGGAAATACTACAAAAAGCTTCATAAAGTCAGGAAAGGAATTTTAAATCATGTACAAATCTCTACACACCTGAGCCAACTGTTTCATTTGTGTTTCCAAGTCCATGACTTTTCTCTTTTCCTCATCAATGGCTTCCTTCAATTTTGCTTCCTGCATGGCAGCCGTCCCCTCCAAAATCTGGAAAAGAGTTTTATTTCTTCCGTGAAGGTATCTTAAACAAACAAAGGCAAATCAGCGAGGCAGAAAATAGCTTGGTAACAGACAAATAAACAAAAGTCATGTTCTAACCGCACGGGCCATTTGAATTGTTTCAATTTCATACTTCATTTATGCCAATATATATTTATGCATAGTTACATGGTATATATTTAACCAAACTCTGGGAGGCAGTGGAAGACAGGAGGGCCTGGCGTGCTCTGGTCCATGGGGTCACAAAGAGTCGGACACGACTTAACTACTAAACAACAACAACATGGTATATAAATTGCTGGGCACGTTCACACAGCTGTCTTTTCTTTCAATACATTTCTTGAACTTTGAACAGCTTTTGTAGGGCTACACGTGCCATCTTAACAAAAGCAACTCATTTTGCATTCTGTTTCAGGAGCACTACTCTAAAATTGCTTTGTTGTTCTTAGAAACAGAACATTATCTGCATTCTGGCATTATCTACAAAGATCCAGGCGTCCTTGGCAGGAACTTTGCCTCCCTCCCAGATGCTGCCCTAGTGTAGCCATAACACACACACACACACACACACTTTTCTGCATTGGTTCACGCAATCATACGGTCAGAACTGATGCAAATCGATCCATTGTGGAAAAAACTAGAAGCCCCGGTGGCGGAGGGGAAAACTCCAGAGCTCAGCGGTGGTGGGGGATGCGGCTCTGGGCTGATATGCATTTGCTTTCACATCATGTGGTCAAAGTGAACAGATCATCCCAATCCTGTAGCATTTCCTGAAACTTTTTTTGTTAATGTAGTAGTATCTTTTGTTCCCCTTAATTGATACCTCTACTGTTACAACCTCTTGAACATTTTTCATTTCTACTTTAAATCAAATTGAATCTTCTCTGGTCATTGCTATGAAGCCTTAAAAATGTCCCTAGATGCTTCTTCAATTGTGATAGGAGAAAAAAAATAGGGAAAGGTGTGCCCCTGCTACCTTTCTGTGTTCCTCCTCAGCTTCCAGAAGTTCCTTCTCTTTGTCCTGGAAATCTTCCTCAAGTTGTTCTTTCAGTTCTTTCAGCTTTTCCTGCAGGAGCAAATGCTGAGACTCCTCAATTGTCCTTTTCTGGTCCTAGCACAAAAGATACAAACAACCAGAAAAGAGAGAGAAACGAATGAGATCAAAGAAAGCTCAGCTACAGAAGAAAGTTCCTCAAGATGCTGCTACATCAGTAGCCAAGAGAAACAGAAGGAAGGTAGGAAGGAAGCACATGGCAGCATGTGCAGTCAAGAGTGGGTGTTGTTCCCACCAAAAGACCTTGTTCAGCCCCGGAAAGTTCAGAAAGATCCCCACAGACACAGAACCACCTGCCCGTAGGAGTCTCAGAGGCCAGGAAGAGGCTTCCAAGTGAAAACGCCTTCTACCTGCAATGCCTGAAGCTGGCTTGTGGTGTTACAGTGCTGGTCCCACAGCTTCTTCACGTAGGAGGCCACGCCTGAGAAGGGAAAGAAGCAAGAATGAATCCCACTTCCCTCTTCCATTTCCCCAAGACTTCTTTTCTCTAAGCAGACAGATCCTTGAAAGAGGTCACTGTGACTTATTGATCAGCCTGCTGGGTTAGCACCAGTGGCAGGGAGATCCAGAATGAAATTCCAATTCAGCCAGGAAAATCATGGGGTGACCTTGGTACAGGTGCTCTCTTTCGGCCTCATGTGTCTTACAGGGTTGCTGTGAGCATAAGAGAAGGAAGCCATGGCCTCTGGCTCGGAAGAAGGACCCACCTGTGGCTTTGTTGGCTCCTTCTGTCCTGCTTTAGTTGCTCCTTTTTCAGAGTAAAAACCCTGGAACCTATAAGCAGCTGTGGGAAAGAGTCGTGGTGGACCATGGAAGAAGACGACCACACCCTATTCCCGATAGAAACTTCATCGCCATCCCTGTGAACCTCCTGTTAGCCACAAAGGGGGAAAGGTACCCACTTACAGGCTGCAGCTCTCTGCAGCTGACAGCATTTCTGGAGTGGGGAGCCATCTAAGTCAGGAATTGGAACCGGCTCGGAGGAACATCAGACCGATACACACACAGAGCAATAATCCCAAGCAGTATTTTCCCTGCCAGGGGCTTTCTGTAAAATAAGAAAGGCGATGGGGTTCCCTCACACGCAGCCTTAGCCTTAGGGGCATCTGCATAGATTACTGCGGAGCCAAAGCTGTGGCAAAGGACAATGACGCCTCTTTTTCTTAAAAGGACGACCCAGAAGACATCACATTCCTCAGGGACACATCTATCATGATGGGGAAACAGGTGTGCTTGTTTCCACTGTGCTTTCCAGCCGGTACCTCTGAAGCCAAAGAGGTGGGCATTTCCTCCGGACCCAGGCGCAGAGGCCTCCATTCAAATCTTTAGAAACATCGGGTCAAACCAGAGGTCAAGGGGATTGTGTGTTCCTTCCTATCAGGCCTCAGTGTGAAGCCCATGCTGAGGTTCCAGTGACCAATGGCAAAACAAAACATGTTAAGCATGTATCCCAGAAGTGGCCGTGAGGGCCATCCAGTCCAATCCCTGCTGAAGCAGAACATCCCTCCGGGAGGCAGGGAGCCACCCAACTGCTGTCCAGAAGCCTCCGAAGAAGGCAAATCCCAACCACGCTCTGAACCACTGCTCTTCTGGCCAAAGAGTTCTTCCTCACGGTCAGCTGAAATGCCCTCTTTCGCAAACTGAACCTCTTGCTTTGGGACCCATGCTCTGAAGCAACACTGAACAAGCTTGCTCCACCTTCCATAGGAAAGCCCTTCAAATATTTGAAGAGGGCTATTTTATCACCCCACCACTAATCCTTTCACTAATTTTCACAGGGCTTGATTTTCAACCCGGTTGCCCTCCACGGAAGGTGTTCCAGCTTGCTGGTATCTCTGTGCATAGAACTGGACCTGGCGTTCCAAGGGAGAGCTGACCAAATCTGAACACAGCAGTGTAACTACTTCCTTTGATCTGGACACTGGATTTCTGCTGTTGCACTCCCTTTTTCGGTTCCCATGTCACACTTTTGACTTGTGTTTAGCTTGTGCTCTACCGAGACCTCCAGATACTTTTCACACACCCAACTGGCAACTCAACTGTTGGCTGTCTTATGTTTGTGCACCTGATTTGTTCTGCCTCAACCCGTCGCCTGTCAAAATTCATTGCATTCATTCAGTTCTCCAACCTGCTAAGCTCCTCCTGAGTCCTGATTTTTTTGTCTTTTGAAATATTAGCCACCCCTCTGAGTTTGGCATCATCAGCAAATCTGACCGGCATCCCCTCCATCCCTCATTCGGGGCATTTACAAAGACGTTGACCAACTCGAGGCCCAGGACAAGGAGTCTATGAGCACTTCTGGGGAAGCGCCCGTCAACCGACTACAAATCCACCCAATGGCTGCATCATTTAGTCCACGTTCTGCCAGCCTGAATGCGAGTGTATCATGAAGATCCTAATCAAAAGCCTTGCTGAAAATAATAGACATCACCCCCACAGCATTCCCTCATCTCGCTGATGATTCTACCCTCTTAGAACGGTATACCATTATCAAGGCATGACAAACTTTTGACAGACCTGAGCGGGCGCCTTTGCTACTTGCTCACAGGCTGCGTCATGATCTGTTCTGGAACCTTTCCTGCCAAGTTCACCAGCGGTACCTGCCCAGATCTTCCCTTTCCCCTTTTTGAAATTGGGAACAAGTTTGCCCATCTCCAGACTTCAGCCACCTTGCCTATTTTCCAAAAATTCTCGAAGATTATAAACAGAAGCTCTGAGATTAAAACCAGCTCTTAAATTCTAAGATGATGATGATACCTGCAAGTTCCTTTAAGTACCCTTGGGTTTGTGCAGTCTATCTGGTCTTATGCCACCCACTTTCCTTTCTCATAGAATCTCTCCCGACAAGGCTTATCTGCACAACTGTTCACTTCCAGTATTCTCTCCTCTCTTCCTAGGCTCTTCTTCAACCTTACTTGGGGGTGGGAGGTGGAACAGACCCTATGGCAGACCTCTTTGGGCCCTCCGAGACAGCGCCTCTTCCAAAGAGACAAAAGTTTAAAAAGGCATTCTCTAGTTTGACCCTCAGCTTCTTTCAAAGGGGGAAAAGTGGTCCTTGCATCTCCCTGGGAGGCCTCTGCCTTGGGGGTGGGGGTGATGGGCCCTGAGAGCTTGGCAGCTGATTTAACGGACCCAGGAGCCCTGGAAAAGGAGCGTGACTGAAAAGCAGAGAACCTTTCTCAGCAGGGCTGGAGACATCAAGGCCCACGTCATGCACGAGACCTTCCACAGCATCCACCCAGCTTAGCAAATGACAGAGGACTTCAGCTGCCAGCGATTGGACCTCTGAGGCAGGAGGAGTCAGGCGGAGGTTCTGAAGAGTGGAGATCTCCTTCCTCAAGCTGTTGCCACAATAGGATGTTTTTAGGAATTCCTGACAAGAAATAGGAGGGAAAGAACAGAAAATCTGTACGCAGCAGCCCAGATCCCTTGCAGGCCAGTGCAAGCCCATAGGAATGAAATTTCCCACAAAATATCAAGGGGTTGTTTTCGCAACTAGTTTTGTCACCCCCAGAAAGGACCACCACATACGTGGAGACGTGTTCCGACAGCCCTCTTCTCCGCCCACTACTCTGTTTTGTATCAAGGATCAGGATCAGCAACGGACGTCAAATCAACAAAAAGCAAGCCAAGGACCTGGATGGATTGCCTGCAGAAGCATTTAAACGTCCTTCTGGACTTATGGTGATTGGCTGCATTCCTTACCTATGCTCGCATTGAAGAGGGAAAAACCCCGTAGACGGCCGCTTTCTCACGCATGTCCAATTGGGTCAGACGTTGCCATGAAAGCGCAGAATATGTACTCAGAGTTCCTTTTCTTTTTTTCCTAATATTTAAATGCTCTACCTGAAATCCATACAGTGATTTTTTCAACAGCTCCATGTTTTCAGAGATTTCCTGTATTTTAGACTCTTTGGCACATATTTCCTCTTTCAGCACCATCTCTTTCTGATAGGACTCCTCCTCGTTCTGCTGCATTTGTTTTAGCTTCTCCATAATCTAACATGCAGTTTAAGAAAGGGGAAAAAAAAACCTTTTGTCAACTATTTTTGGTCGCTCTCTCTCTCTGCCTTGCTCCCTAGATTAAGCTCTGAAAGAATTGACCAAAGTCACTTCCCCATTCGATAAGAAAACCTTACAATGACATTTCAAGGGGGTGTGGGGTGTGTGTGCAGTCTATCAAACAAAAACAAGGGTCTCAGTTCTACTGGTCATTTTAAAAGATCCAAATGAAATGGCATTTATGCAAAACTTGACTCCCCATTCAGCAACTGATGAAACAGATCTACTGAAGCTGGGACCACCATCTCTCTCTCTCTCTCTCTCTGTGTGTGTGTGTGAAGTAACAAAAGGAAAGAAAGGAGAGTGGGCCACAGGGATGTGCCCTGAAGCAGGCAGCAAGCTTGGGAGTGCTAAGTCCTGAAAAAGCATCAGCCTGCCCTTCCCTTCTCAAGCTGCTCGACCCACCACATCTCAGGTCAGTCTACAGAGGCAGATAAACCTCCTCTCACCCAAGTTCTGGCTGGGAGCTGACCATCCCCTCACTGACAAGATGCTACCAAGAGGCAGCCCCATCCACGACCCCACTGGAACCACTTTTCTGATACAAGGCACTTGCCCCCCCCCCCAAAAAACAACAACAAACAGACCATCTTACCTCCTGATCTGTGACCGACCTCTCGGGGAGTGGAAAAAAGAGGATTTCAGTCACTTGGTCTCTGAAGCGCTGTGCCTGGCAACAGAAAAGAACCCGGGAAAGATGATTGAGAGCAGTGAGGGACCTCTCGCCCTCATCTGGCACAAGAGACTCCCCAGCCCAACCCCTCCAGCTACCCCAGTGGCTGCCCCGCTCCCTTACGATTCTGAAGAATACCTCCATGGCCTGCAAGGCGCTGGGACGTTTACCACCGCAGTGCATGGCATTCTGCTCCAGGGAGCCCCAAAGCAAGGGCGGACCATGCTGGAGATCCAAAAGTTACGATGGGTCTGGCCTCGGGACCCCCTGGTGGCAGCCCCAGCCCCTCCAGATGGAACCACAAGGGACCAGAAGGTGACTTCTGATTTCAAACAAAGCCAAGCAAACACACCCTTCTGATTTAAAAAGAAAACAAAACACCACCATGATCCCAGAGGGCAAGACACGCAGCCATGGGCTCAGGTTACAGGGAGCAAGATTTCTGCTGAATATCAGGAAAACATTCTTAACAGTTAGAGCAGTACGACAACGGGACCCAAAACCTCAAGGGGAGGTGGTGAGCCCTCCAACACTGGAGGCCTTCAAGGAAAACTTAGAAAATCCATTGGCAGATACCCTTTGATTGGGATTCCTGCCTTGAGCAAGGGGCTGGACTTGATGGCCTTAAGAGGCCCCTTCCAACGTCACTTTTCTATGATTTCTCGCTGAAAAAAAGAAAGGGAATACTGTGATTTGGGGGGGGGGCCCTTCACCAATACCTTGGCAAGAGATTTTTCCAT